AAATTTCTAATTTGTTCTAAAATTTTATCTAATGTGAATTATCGTAGCATGCATAAAACTATCTCTTTAGGGTATGTTTCAAACACGAAAGCGTAGGTTGTTCGTCAACAATAAACTGTTTTGAAATTTCAGAGCTTCTCTTATTACCAAAACCTCTCCTTATTGATCGTTTTGTTGAGGACTTCCTCAAATTTAGGTATATGCATCCTGAAAGGAAGTCTTATATTACTTAAATATTTGTTCCTTTCTTTTATAATCTTATATCTTTATTTATATCTTAGCTCCATTTCCTATTAGCCAAAGCTGAAATCTCCCTCGAAATGAAATGAGACAGATTGTTACTGATAATATCGTAGAACATAACATTTAAGTGTCATCATTATAGAACCCTCGCATTTCTCATTATTTTAATCTTAAAAATAGTTTCCAAAAATCAACAGAATGGGTGAACAAGTGTTAAGATAATATTTAGGTCTTATGGAGAACAGTTCGAGGCAAAGGAATTGTTTAATTTGTTTATATTCTCTTTCTTCTAACTGTTGTTAGACGTAATATTCTGCAAAAATATCCGCCGAACAATGATTGGTGTTAGTAACATAAAAGAATTGACTCCTCAAATATCGGTATAATGATATCGATTCTCGAGATAATAATCCGATGAATAATGAATTCAATTACAAGGGAGTATTTCTCTTTTATTGCAAACAGTTAAATTTGCATCTCAGAAATGACATAGATAACAGAAGTTATTTAATTCCCACTGACACACATACGAGCACGATGTTTTAGTTTTGCATAACCTATGAATTTCATTTATGTACTTGCAACTTAATGATAAAATCGATCCTTCATATTTTAATAGACCGCACTTTAGCAGTCCATTTACTTTTTAATTGAGAAACATGTTTCTTTTATAGTTTGCTAGTCCTATAACAATTTATGGAGTTCATCATAAATTTTAGCATAAGCACTTTCAATTCGATTATGAACTTGTTGCTTAACCGATTATTTGGAAAGCGGTGTAGGAAAACCATGGTTTTCTTCTTTTGTAGTTAGAAAGAAATGTTATTAGGTAGGTTAATCCTTGAATGTTAAGAGGTTATCCTGTAAAGTCGAGACATTGTGCATTACTGTATTAATGAGGGTTTGAATTTAAAAAAAAATAGAGATAAGATAGTAAGATGAGGCAAACTTTGAAACCTTTTCTTATAATATTGAAATATAATTTAAAATTCAGGGACATTTATCTTGAATCTTAATAATATCGTACACAGCGGTGGATCTGTTCCGCTTATACAATGCTGTAGTTGGCAAAAGTCTTTGGCTGCATCTTTGGTCTCGGCGTCAAATATGGATACGGGCACTTGCGAACTGTCTGTAATGAAACGTTTATCAATGCGTACGACTTCTTTAGAGTTTGAAGTTGATAAAAATAAGGGATAAGAGATCTCTTGATCCCTTCTTCGTTCCGGTTGCCAGTGCATTTTTTATAAAATGAGTAAATAAAAACAATTGTGTGACCACTAATGGCGTAAAATTTGAGTTGATTACTGGCATACAGTCCGATACATCTCCAGTGGTTATTTGAGCCATTTGCTTACACCCGCTCTCGTGATTAAGAAGTTACAATTAACTAGCTAACACGTCAAGATCCGTGCTTTGAATTTCATCAAGGGCACACTTATTTTTTCCCGTTTTCGGTTCCAAAAAAATTTAGATGCTCTATAACAAAATTAGGGTTTAAATTAGTCGAATAATAAAAATTGCCATTTTATGGCAACCCTAAACATGCTTTTCGGGGAAGCTATCTTAGACCTGGACATTTCGTAACAATATCAAATTTTTTAGATCTGCAATATTTGAGGAGTAGAATGTCTAAAGCATGCTTCTTATAGTTTATACTTACTCTATATCTATAGTATAAGTTCTCTGAATACTTAGTGCAAGACATAAACGTTCGCAGAATTCAAAGTTTCTGAAAAGCGTTCCGGTCACATGTTTCCTGATAACTGATGTTCTTGACATATTCCTGACCTTAATAATGCTTTAAGTTTGTAAACACTGAGATTGTTTCTCATATACGCATTAATGATGAGGTTTTATTCATGATCAAATATAACTGTTACTAATGTAATAGAATTTAAATACTACAATTAAGAAACATTTTACGGTTATGTAAGTAGCATGCTGGTATAAGTCATTTCTTAGTCATAAACGATACATTTTTTTGAATACATTTTCCGTTCCAGGATGCCTGATGTGTCGAATTTATTACTGTATATTTTTTAATTTATGGTTTTCGTCCTTTTACTAATATTTTCAAATAAAAACCGTAAACTTCCTCCATCTATTATGCAATGAACTCGTTTCCTTAAAGTTTTGTAGAAATGCTGTTTCCGATGGCATTGTACCATGAAAAAAGCATAAATTTTGGCTTAACCGCCTGTACATTATTCTTTCCGACGCTCGTATGAGATTAAATGGGTAAAAAAGTATTAACAGCTAATAAAATGGGCTCTTTTGCCGAAACAGAATGGATCATTTATTTTCGGAAGAAGGGTCTCCTGGCATAAGGAGTTGCAGTTTAATTTCCTTTCTCCAGATGTTTAATGGAACTGCTTTTTGAATGTCTTTTCCAGAATTCCGAACTGCTTCGAAGAGGAAAATATACAACATGCGGAAATGTATGCAATTTAGATAGCAATTGCTTTTATAAAGTTCATGGAAAGCAAATGAATACTTTAAGAAGAATGAATGCTTTACCCTGTTTCGTATTTGTCGTGAAGGGAATGGTAAGGAAGTTTTCGGATATAAATGAAGTACACAAAATGAAAAATAATACATATATATCGTGTATATATGTTACGTTGTTTTCGGAAAATTAGCTTTCGAAATTCAGAATTTCTATAAATAAAGTAATCATGCTATGTGAAAACAATTCTGCGTTTACTTCTGTTTTATATTTAGCAAGTAAGCGCAAAGCAACATTTTGTAAATTACAAAATATAAATGGCAAAATAACGAAGTTCTAAAGGGAAAAAAAGTATAATTTTATTTTAAAATTTCATAATATACAATGTTAAAGGGTTTACAGAATTTGCTTGTAGAGCAGTTCTGCTTGAAATGAAGATCATTTCCTAGTCAACTCCGAAGTGATGCCAGTTGGAAAATATGCCCCAGCTTCAGGGTTCCAAGGATTATTGCAAAAGCATTCTTTTGATAGTCAAAAATTGCCTGTGGTGTCGTTTCGGTTAATATGAATAATCTGAAAATGTTTTGAGAGAAGTTTTGGCAATAGCGGTATCAGAGGTTAAAAAAATCTGAAAAATGTGTGGGGGGGATTAAGTATGACTTGGAAGGATGTTTATCCTCATTCCCTTTGGCCGAAATGTGATAATGCCCCGAATAATCAGATGATTTTTATTTCGCTTGCACTAGAACATCAATTGTGATGTCACAGATAATATCATTTTATATATTTCTTCTACAAAGGGTACATAAACTCCACTTCTAGATAACTTCATTACATATAAAGAAGCTCTCAGAAAATGTGTCATTCCTTTTGTTAAGACAAGTTTGGATATTGATTATTTCAAATGAAAGTGTTTTCGAAATTGATTGGCTCCATTTAGCTCAGATAAACGGGATTCTGGTTTATGTTCTGTTCCCAAATTTTCATTTCTTGCGATCGCATCATGCTTATGCTGTTTACTTACGTCAAATGACGACACTTTACGTAGACACGTTCTATCATTTCATTATACATGATATTTAATTATTTACATTTCTTGTTGCAAAAGCTTAGTTTAAGATCTCCTAAGTTTACGAAAATGAAATCCTCTTCCAGAAAAATTTAAGGTTAACTTATTTCACTTCGATTATAAAAAGTCATATATATTTCGGAAGTACGAAAAGGGGAAAATAGTAATTCTTTTGGCATTATGAATGTTAGGTTCTCGAGCATTCTTCTGTTTTTACTACTGTTAAACTTATCCAATCATATTCAAATTTTATGTGAATTGATGCAGTCTTACAGCTGGGAAATTTAATAACTGAGAGTATGAAAATGCTTCTGTGGTAATTTCGACGTTCATCAGAATATGTTACTTTTCTTTAACAATGTGCTTCTTAATTATTAGTATACATTTGCTTCTGTGCTCTAAATCTTATACTCTAAATGTCTCCTTCTTTCAATAAATGGAGCAAAATATTGCTTAACCAACTTTGTAGAACTTTAATCAATACACTTACACAGAATTTGTTGATAACAAAAACATCCCCAGTTTTCCTAGGTTTTCAGCTGAAGTCCTTCGTACTGAAGTCAACAACAAAACATATTTGAATTCTGAAATTTATTAAGATATATTTTCATACTTTTCTTTCTATAGTATAATTTCACAATATTTATTTCTTGCTTATAGTTAATATTATAGCGATAAATCCCAGCACCAATACGCAGAGTTACTCTTACGTTGGCAGTTGGTGCTATTGAACGGAAAACATGTTCATCTTTCATACCAGGTTGTAGAAATTGCTTGTGCAAATATACAATTAACCGCTGTTCATTTTTTTCAAGAATTTAAATGTGGAAAACTTTAATCTTCCTTAATACAATTTTACTTAGTCGGAAGTGCACTAGCACTGCTTTTATATCCTGTAAACTATGATTATGGTACTTTGAGAAAGCAAGAGAAAGTAGAAATTTAAAAAAAAAATCTGAAGGTTTCAGATTTCATATTACGCACAAAGGGGCGTTTTTTAACGTTTTGTGGGTTACCTTTATTTCTTAAATATCATGTTCTTCGTACTTAAACCATAAAATTCAGTTCAACAGCAATATCGCAAAATAATTTTACTGCTTAAGTGTCCTGAAATCAACCGCGCCAAAGACATTTAGTCTTTCCTGTCACCCTTGAAACCAACAGTAGTACCAGGACCTGTACTATGATACCATAAGTGTGTCGGCAGCTTTCTTCAGGAATTGTTAATTAAAGCCTTACTTCTCGAGTATAGTTCAGGTAGGTCAAAGGTTGAGCATAAACCTGAGGCATGGAAGTACCCTCCTTTATTAATCTATCAACTGTATCGTTATATTTTTGATTAACATCAGATGTATCCATTCTAGATGGAGGACAAATGATTGGGACAAGGCTCTAGGCTCTATGTGATTAAAATACCTTTTGTTAATTACAGTAATAGCCCAAATATTACAGTCTCTCATCTGTATAAACAATACGCTGTTTTAATTTCAGATTTTATGGAACCTTAAATGGTAGCACCTCTTAGCGTTTAGGTATCTCCGTATGTACTTGAACAAAAGCATAGCGTAACAATGGCGTAACATCAGATAACAAAACAGAGGCAAAAATGCATTGAAGCCTAATCTATAAATTAACCTCACTTATAAAACATAAAAGAGAAAGAAAAGAAAAAAGCTATAATAAAAAAAATCATTCAAACATAAAAAAGAAGGAAAGGAAAAAAACATAATCAAAAGAAATAGTTCAAATGTGTCGAAAATTAATGTAATGTACACTCTGGGAAAAAAAACCGAGACTGACAGTTCTATATTTCCCTTTTTACTGGCCCCATTGCCGAAATTTAACTTACTTTCTCTATAAGAGCGCCTTAGGATATATATAACGTTTATATATAGCGTTGCTCAAACAGTATTTAAACAAAGTATTTTGACATAAAATGGGACAATTTTTTTAAATGGCATACCGATGTTAACATATTACAATACGTATTAAACATATTAAAATACATATTAAAATTTTTGCCATCATTTTAAAGTAAATGTATTTCTAGGCATTCCTGTAAAAAATTAGAGTTTTTTATTCAAAATTTCCCAAGATATACGTGAATTTATGTAGTGGTGCGTTTTGAAATTTGGCATATTTTAATTTTTTATAAACAATAATAAGGCGAAATGAGGTTTACGCACTTTGCTAAAATTATTTGAAAGCAATAATGAGGCAACTTTGTTTCCTGTCATGCAAATCGAAAGGGAAAGAAAAATGGATTTCCATAAATTAATAATTTCGTCAAATGAACTACTAGACCAAAAGGGCAGTAAGTTGCCCCAAAGAACTATTAATTTTGTTTTGGCGTTTTGCGTTGGTTCACTATAAACGGCAAATCACTTTTTAAATTGTTATCACCAAATACTGGAGCCCTGTATTATATTCAAAGAAATTAAATAATGAAGAATCTGCATAAATGTATGCATGTTTCTCGCATTCTGATAAAACAACGGTACCTAAAGCCATAAAATTTTGAATAACATACGTCTTCACCCGATATGGGCATCTGGAAGCCCAAATTTGGAATTTGGAAGTTTTTTATTATCTATTTCATATTCTGTAAAGCATTTATGAGTTTTTGATTAAGAGACTCACAAGATTTCAAAGCGAGCAGTGGCAACACTGTACGAAAAAAACATTTTTATCTCCAGCGCACGATACTGTGTATTGTAAATTCTAAGAATATGCCCTTTTAAATACTTTGTGATATTTGCTTTTGAATTGAGTTTTATGGTTTAAGTGCAAAGAACATGATATTTAATAAAGAAAGTTAGCACGCAAAACGTTAAAAAAACGCCCCTTTGGGCCTAATATAAAATCTGAAAGCTTTCAGATTTTTTATTTATTTTTCACTTTTAATTTAAAAGTTTAACTTGGTGCAAGTTTTTAATTTGCGCCATGATAATTTTTTAATTTCTCGGTGTTTTTTCTCATCAAATTTTACAAAATTTAACATTTAGGCGTAATTTGTGTTGTAGAATCGAAATATGCAAAAATATTGGTATGTTATTACAGAAAAGGTCTCATTTTGTATCGAAATACCTACGTCAAAACAATGCTTTATGTGAATCTGTTGTACATTTTTATAAATCTGCAAGACGCGCTTTCGAAACACGAAAAACGCAAATTAAATTTTGTCAATCGGCCCAAGAAAACGGGAGAAATAGAACTGTCCTTTCTAAGAGAGGTAATATTATTCACATCAATAAAACTGCTAGAAAACCAGAAAATACCGATACAGAGCATCATCATCTGGGAATATGATGCAAAGAATCCTGGCTTTGAACACATGCATACAGTTGACGCTAATTTTCTAAAGTATAATATATCAGTTATAACTCAAATGTGTGGCTAGTTCATCAGTATTTCAGAATGGACGTGGAGAAGTCACAGCAAGTGTCAGACACACTTGATCACAGAGAGACTGGTAATCGAACTTACCATGGAAAGATGTCGACATTTAGAAGCAACCTTGAGGATGCTTAAATTATTAGCATCTAGAAACGTGCTTACAAGTAATAAATCTTTCAGCTTCTCTTCTATATGATGATTAAATTTCAAAAAGAAATTCTCAAAAATTATTCGTCCATGAGACTTTTTGTATGAAACGCTATTAATATATTTTACAATAAATAAATTTCATCAGCTTTGAAAAAATATTGTAATAACTACAGTACTTTAATATTTAATTACTTCATATTTAATTTAAAATGCAAGAGATTAAACGAGCACCTTCTGATAGATATTTGTCCCATTCATCTTATTTTCAGTATAATACTTTAACGAATGCACGAGGCTTCAATTTGAGTTGCAGGCAAAAAGGTGAAAATTACGGTCTAGACTCCTGATGATTTGAATAAATATGTACGCATATATTTCTGCTCTTGGAAATTTACATTTCTGCTTTTTGACTTTTTTAAACTATGTCTGATTATATGATATTTTGCCCAAGAAAAAACGTTCATCACACATTTGCTTCTTTTATATACATGCTTCTTCATCATATATATGCTTCTTTCTACAACTAGTATTCTTTCGAGAAATAATATTCAGCTTCTGAAAGATGTTATCAATTGAGTAAAAACAGTTCATGTAATCCATGTGATATATAAATTGGAAATGTTTTACATACTGTGAAGCCACATCTGAAGAAATTTCGGTTTAAACAGAAAAAAAATAGAACTATATATATGCAGCACAAAATATCTGATGGTCTTCATTTTTCAAGAGTGAAAGAAATGTTTTCCTTATCGAAACATCCTTATTTGATGCAATAAGAAACTATTATTTAATTATAATTATTTTAATTCAGTACATAAGATATGTTTTCAATTGTTATCGAATGATAGTAATCGCCATTTAACCTAATATAAAATTTTTAGTTCATTATTCTCATTCTGATTTAGAAGATATTTCTATTAATTTGTTTACTCCGTTAACTCACAGACAGAATACTTAAAAACATCCTTAAAGGAATACAGGAATTACACTATATAAATACAGGAATTACACTTGCATTAGAATGTTTGGTTACACATTTAGATATAATAAAGCATACAATAGTTACCTCCCTTAGTAAAATTCCCTTCATACTTTAATATTAGAAATGATATGATCATGTTTTTGTATACGATGTCGATGCTGGTTTATCTGTAAAGCCGCTTACGATAAAAATTTGAAATAAACTCAAAATCAAACAATTTATTATCCTGGACCTGTTTCTTAATATTGACTGAACACGAAATAATATGAGGCCCATGGCATCAGCGCAAATATTAATATGGCAGCTGTACGTGCAGAAGTCGCCCTCTGCTGACTTGAAGAATGATACAACATTGTTTAGAAATTCCTATACCTTTTAACTGAAACTGATGCAAATTGGATTAAAATTCTGACTTTACAAATCCCCCCCTTTCCTTTTTTTCTCTTTATACAGAAATGGATTGTTATAACTTAAAGAAAAGGAAAATGATGATAATATACTGAAACCAAAGTATAATTTTCAAGGTAACATTAATTTCGTATAAGACATTAATCTCAAAACTATTTATAATAGCAGTTACTTCTCGTGCAATATTCTAACACAATCCTCAGGCCATATTATTCTCTTTCCAGAACCCTGTAGGAAGGGTGAGTCCGTGCAGATTCATTAAACTTTGAATATTTAATGCAATGTTTAAGAATTGAGCTTTAGACGGGAATGAAACACGATGCATAAATCCGCTTCCCTTTGTAAACTGCAGAGTCAACTGATCACTGGTTCGTTGCGAGCTATTGTTAACGAAAAGTCCGGGGTGTAATTGAACTGTCATTCATCAAGTTGAACACAGCAATGCAAGCCCAGCTGCGCCTTGAAAGGTGGAGGCGCAGTTCGACATTTACAGAAATATTTGAATTTACGTATGTAATATTAAAGCTCTCTAATTTAAAGATGTGACATGAGTTAAGAGTGAAGATGCGTTTATATTCAGATCTTGGCATCTCATAAAAGTTTGCTACAGTTCAGCTTTTAATTATAGTAATTAGATTACTAACTTTTTATTTAATGAAACGCGTCGAAAAGTGTTTAGCATGAGCACAATAGTTTAAAAACTGAATTGTAATATAAATATGTAAATTAATAAACAATAATAGTTAAATATATTTTGACTTCTGCTATGCCATAGAACAGATATGTTTTATGATATATCTGTAAGGAGAGAGGATTAGATGCTTTTAAAAATCGTGGCGTTCTCTGTAAGAAGCAAATATCATTCATAACACCATTGTGTATTCTGTGATACCTGTTCTATCTCCTGTATAAATAGGCAAGGAGGAAAATGGAAAGCTTGGTTCTTTTTTTAGATCTATATATAGATTATAAGTACATACATAGATACAAGTAACATAGTAACGTACAAAAAGAAAAGAATGAAATATAGTTCAGCACTTTTATATGACACTACGTAAAGTTTTATTATGTCAGAAGAAACATAATAAATTCAATTCAGATACACAGCACGCGTACAGATCGTTCCAAAGAATCAAAGCAGAAGTACAACATGGAGTGCAGAAAGATTCAAAGAACAAAACTAACCTGCTCGCTGAATGATGATTCGAATACATTATTCCTGAAAACCTAATTGAGAGTTCACGCGATGGTTTAATCTCCACTATTATCATAGTAAAAGTCGTAAAAGTCATTAACTCTTTCACACCTGTGAAACAAAATTTAGGCCGCAGCCGATGAAGAAAGGTGAAGTTGTGTAGATGTGAATGTGCAGATAATTCAGCGAAATGGTCGACGGATTCAGTTTGTGTTCACTTTGTTGAAT